TTCCGTTTATTTCGGGCCATGCGTCTTGTGAAGCTGCTAAGTAAGGGCGAAGGAATCAGAACGTTACTGTGGACTTTCTTGAAATCTTTTCAGGTCAGATATGCTTGAGCCAAGGAATTTTTTTAAGTATACTAATAATCTTTATTTTAATTTCAGGCCCTTCCGTACGTTGTATTGCTAATTGTACTGCTGTTCTTCATTTATGCGGTCATAGGAATGCAGGTTGGTACAGTTAGTTTAGATAGTGAACAGCGCCATTTCTACAGAAGGTAAAAACCTAACAAAATGGTATAATAACACCTTTACATGTGATAAGGAGTCATACTCATTTATATGTCTGAGGTTTAGGACATGAATTCAGACGTTTTTCTCCATTATAAGGCTTTTTATAACCATAGCCAAAACCCGTTATCACCACCTCTGCGTTAACTGCTTTTTAGGGTTGACGAACACCCTGACAGTTAGATGAGGTTACATTCAGCCTCACTTTCTTGGAATGTGACCTTTTTTGTTCACGGCATATTTCCACTGAGCAAACGATGGTACAGACTTGATGTCTAGCTCCATAAACTGAGACGGTGGTTGCCTGTCTCTCGCCAAGCATATCTGTTGGTGACCAACACGTCGCCAAAATCTTCACTTATATGAATTCGTTGAGCTGAAAGGATGAGGGTTCGAGAGACATCGACAGTAGTTCACCAAGGTTGTCACCCTTTGACTGCTGCCCGTCGCCGAAACTGTGCTCGAGGAACAAGGTCCTGAACTGAAGAACCGATCTGTAAACAGGTGGGTCTCTGGGTATAGATTTCCAAACAGTTCATATTTGGCTTTTCAACAAAGCTTTGACTTCGTAAACGAAGCTGCTAAGTGCCTGTCAACTTTTGAAAGTATGAAAATGGCATATATGAAAATATTTGTGATTCGTCTACTGTTGACTGACTCCATGAAAGCTAATCATGGCGAAGGTCCTTCATAATGAAATTCTTTCATTTTCTATGAGAGGGATTACATGGAATTCTTTTACCTTCCACCGATATTGCCTTGTACTATTTTTGCCTCTATCCTTTAGCCTGTTATCCGTTAGTCATCCACAGTGGCACCAAAATCTGAAGCGTCAAGTTTGCAGCGATTGAATCTCTCTGATGAAGCAGCACCACACAGCCATTACCATATTCAAAGCTAAAAAATGCTGTGAATCGCATTGGCACACCTGCGAATCTCATATCAGTGGTCAATACGTATCATACTGCATAAACTCTGAACTTTGTACACTTTGAATATATTACCTATTTTGTGTTAAATTAGGCTATTTGTTATCAAGCTTTTAAATATATCTTTAATTTTTACGTTTGATGTACATAGAGGTCAGAACTATTCTCCAACAAATGAGAAATGTCAGCTTTTGTTCAGGAGAATGGCGCCATAAAAGCGAAGTTGCACTGTAATGCTGGTTTTCCTAAGTTTCATGAAGATGCTGATAATAACAAAAAGATGTATTTTAAATTTGATACATGTTTATGTTTCAATTTCTTGATATAGTTTAGCATTCATCATCCAGATTTTCCGTTTACTTGGCTCATGAGCTATGCACTTTGATGAAACTTAGATTGCGAGATGAATGTGAACGATATTTTCAACGGTGTGATGCCGGAAACATGTATTAACATCGATATGAGCAAAGTTGTACATGAACGTTTTCTTGAAATTTCCTGGCAAAACTATGTGACAATGCTGATGTTTAGGTGTTTGGAAGAATTGCTCTGGACGACGACACGCAAATTCACCGACATAACAATTTTCAAACGTTTTACAACTCGTTGTTACTACTTTTTCGGTAATGAGGATGCAGTGCAAAACATGTTGTGTTGTGCATGAGTGTTGTTGTGTTGTGTTGTGTTGTTTTGTGCATGAGGATGCAGTGTTGTGCAGAACAAATGGTCCAATCAAGATTTCGGTTTTTTCAGTTGCGCCACCGGTGAGGCGTGGCAAAGCGTCATGCTCGCCTGCTCCGACCGTCCTGACGTGCGATGTGACCCGGCCGCAGGTTTCGAAGAAGGTGAAGGCGCGCTGGTGACTTGCGGTACCGACTTTGCCTACCCGTACTTCATATCATTTTTCATGCTCAGTTCTTGTCTGGTAGAGTTAAACGCGTTTCAAGGTGCAATGGACGAATTGCTTGTGTTTAGATCATAAATCTGTTCGTGGCAGTCATCATGGACAATTTCGACTACTTGACTCGCGATTGGTCGATTCTCGGCCCTCACCACCTGGAGGAATTTGTCAGGTTGTGGTCCGAGTACGATCCATACGGCCGGGGTCGAATCAAGCACTTGGATATCGTCCTGCTGCTGCGCAAGATTAGCCCTCCGCTCGGCTTCGGCGACTTCTGCCCTCACCGAATCGCGTGCAAAGTAAACGAGACATTGAGGAGCGAGTTGTTGAACTGAACTCAATTTAGCATCTTGTTACAGAGACTGGTGACGATGAACATGAGCTTGCTGCCGGACGAAACGGTCGACTTCAACGCGACGTTATTCGCGCTGGTGCGCACAAACCTGAACATCTACGGAGACGGTAGATCAGCGGCCATAGTTTTCTACTGATTCTTTTGCATGAACGGCGTGACATCAACCACCCATGTTTCAGACACCATCGAAGTGGCGAACGAAAAACTGCGAAAGGTAATCAAGAAGATCTGGAAGAAGACTCCTGACTCCTTGCTCAATTCCGTACTGCCTTTGACGACAGGTAAAACGCAAACGCCTTGGTTTTAACAAACTACCGCTTCTTCTGCCGTCTAGATGCTGGTTCTCATAAAATTCCTATTTTAAAGTATTTTTTTGAGATATCCTGAATGACTGGATCATCAACAACTGAGGCTCGTCTTTTCATTTATGGTTTGATTTTTCCATATCTCTCTTTTGGTCCATCGACCCATTTAAGCTGAATCTTCTGACTAAGTCTGACAGTCCTCTGAGTGCCAATCTGATACCATTGAAGTGAAATCCTAATTAGTCAGTCGTGCAATGTTATATGACCACTGTTGCTAACTCAACGTATTTCATTTATACGCGTCATCGCATACCCCAACATGTGTTAGACTTCCTTAACAGCAATAACAACAACAAGAATTGCGAAGTCGGCGTTAAGACCGTTGCGCCAGCAAACTATAGTCTCTGGCGATGGCATCATTGACATGTTCTGTTGTTCTGAGATCGGAGGACCTGTCCGAGCAAGCTGTATTTTTCTGAGTCCCGTGGTCTGCTTATGAACCGCTACCAGGTGACGTGGAACTCCGTTGTGAATGTTAACAGCTGCAGCGAGAGCGTGGCGCCACTTACTTAGGGTCTTTCTTGACAGTCCCCGGTCTTTTCGGCCAGTAGGTTAAGCATTCCATTGAACTGTTTACCATTCCATCCTGAATGCATTCGTCAGACATGCCCAAACCATCGTACCTCTGACTCTAACTTCGTTCAAGGCGCGTCAGAGTTTCGTCTGAGAAGGCAGTATTTCAGTCATAGACCATTATTCATGGCCATTGGTGAACAGGGGGATCAAAATCGACTTGAAAAGGGACATCTTCATCTGCACCTCTGCTCTGCCTTGATCACAACGGATCTGGATCTCTCATACAGATATTGGCCTCCTGATTCTCAGGTCGCTCTCTTCCTCTTCCTCTCACGTTTCTGAATTGTGTGAAAGCCGGTTCTTTGAACTTTCCACTGTTCTTTTCTAGTATCATGGCGAGTGAGGAATGACTGTGCGGCAATATCTCTCACTTCCTGCTGCTAGACTGATGAAGGTAGCCCTTGCTGTCCCAAAGCAGTACCTAATTTATATTAGCTTTTCAAGCAACGGGCGATCGTTGTGGTGTAACACTTTGCCATCAATGTATCGAGTAGTAGCTGTTTTGGTCCTGACCATCGGCTGTTGTCTCCTACACGAATTGTGCTGACTGTACCCCGGTATTGATTATGATATGGTAACGTGTCACAAGGTAGCCACCTCACTCACTAAACAGCACGTACTCTGAGATAGCGTTTGGATATAAATCTTGAAGGCCAAAACCTTCTTATTCTGCGCAAGGAATCCGTGGAAACAATGATAAATCACAGCTTAATTTTTTCGCATGAACCTTTGCACCCATCTTTGAGTCTCCGTAAAGCAAACATCAGTAACCTGAGCCCTGCAAGATTCGTTACGACTTAGTTATGGTGCTTGTGGTGAAGTGGCTTTGTCTTTCAGGCGAAGAAGACGTGACTGTCGGAAAGTATTACGCGACCTACCTCATTCAGGATTACTTCCGTCGGTTCAAACGTCGAAAAATGCGTGAGAATCAACTGTCTGCCGTTACAAAGTTGAAGCAAAATCAGACCGTACTTACGGTAATTCTTTCATCCATGGAATAAACATATTTAGCATACTGGCAGCTTTAAGTCTCAATTGTACGGCTATTATGAAGCGTACATGCAATATGCTTTCAGGCTGGTTTGCGCAGTCCAAGTCAAGAAGATCGCGCTGAGCCTAAGAGAAAAATATCGGTTTCGATTTCTGCTGAATGCCTGGAAGAGTTTGAAAAGCCGACACATAGAGTAAAACTTCTGTTTTAATTACTTTTGCAGGCCTACTGTCTTGCACCGAAATTATTAGATATAATTGTTGCAATAGAAACTGCTCAGATAACGTTAGATGCATGCATTCCTGCCGCAACCGCCCGGGTAACAACCCAGAATTCATCCAAGGGGCAATTTGACAAAGATGATTCTTTGAACAGGGCTCGTAACATTTCAGCATCGTAATCATCAGAGGCCATAGATCATTGACACAACGGTCTTATGTCTGTTGTGGTTGTTGAAATCATCGTCTTGAGCCGTTCGCATTTGCAGAATTTCTCCGGTTTCTGATGTCTGGCGTATTAACAGCCTTTCAACACTTTCGTTCAGTCTCACTACTAACTATCTGCTATTTTTCATGAATCCAGCGTTCATATTTCCCATTTCATAACATGACAACAGATGTCATTGAGTTAGATGTCAGCAAAATGAAGTGGCATTAAATTTTCGAGGTATTCCGTGATCATGCGGTATTAAAACAGTTTATTACTTTCTCCAAATGTTGTTTTTTCACAACCAGTTCAACTTTTCTTCTACAGCCTTCACTTTTGTCTCTCTGTTATGTATTCCTGAAGACGGAGGGCAGAAGTACAAATATTTGATCAGATTAGGCCTTTCACAGGCCTTTACATTAACTTGTAACAGCGTTTGCAATGCTCGCAGTTATGGTTAACTTAGTGTTCATGTGATTTCAGAGAATTCACTGGCTTTTCAACAACATTCGGCAAAAGTTGTCGCTACACCATGGAATGGAACCTGAGTATTCGCTGCCTGTCGGGTGAGCTGCTTCTATGAACATATTAATGTATATGAATTATAATTTGTGGATGGTTCATGCAGCAGCGGTTAGGTCGCTGTTGAAAGTATTGCGTCACCTTTTAACGCATAGGAAAGACATGTCCCTGATGTTCCGGGGTAGCTACCACATATTAGATTACAATTCCGCCAGTATCTTTTGAATTTCAATTTTAGTTTCGAAATTTACTCAGTGTTAAAAGCACCGTCCCGTTGCTTGAAGTCTTCAAGAAGGACTTTTTCAGCAGGCCACGGCTCAGTGTTATTTGAGTACCTACAGTGTGCTTGACACTCATTCGAATCCCTGAGTTGGGTTGAACAAGGACGTGTTCGAGCGCCAACTAAATCGCTACTGTCCGTAGCGAAATAAATAGGAAAAGCACAATCCTGATGTTCATAGGTAACTGCCGTCACTTGGCAGCATCTCCTCTCACTTCTTATGCCGTTATAGTTGATTTGGATATTCTTTCATTATTCAACGATTCACAGATAAGACATTGCATTGATTGATTGTTCCGTTTTAGAAACCTGTCAGATAACTCGAAATTGGGAGTTCAAATACCAAGCGTCGGCGTCAATCATGACGTGGCAATTTGCGTTTCAAGGCAGTAAGTTCAGATTTGTTGTTCACGTCGGTGAATTTCTTTGTAAAATAAAATTTATTTATTTATTTAAAATTAATTAACGCAGACACAACGCTCTGCTAAGTGAATCCAAAACCAATGAAGAATGCACAAATCTCAGAATAGGACAAGTTTACCTTACAATTAACGTAAGCCCATTTGAATAATAGGAAGTCTTTAAACAGCTGCACGTGACTGCCAGATAAATGCATTTTTGAACTCTGCTGCGATGGAATTCGTTGCATTCCAAAATGCATAAGGAACAGTTCTCTTGGGTCTCCC